TTCACATTTTACCATTCAATGTTTAGAAATGTTATGAAAAAATACAACATATAGTGTTTCTCCGCAAGATGATTTGATTAATTGACAAGGTATGAAATAAATGTGCTGTAATCTTCTTTTGTACGCTCGCTTTTTTGCTTTCAGAAACTGTTATCTATGAAGTAAGAACTATCACGAGGTTACGCAAAGACTTTCTTCCATGCAAATGAGACAGACAGAAAAATAACGGACGTATTTTAAGCCGACAATTAACAAAGGGGATTAGCTAAAAGAATGCAGGTAATTCCCATCAAATTTTATTGATTTTTACTTCAAGAAACGGCTAATAGGGTAGAAGCTAAAGAACAGGGATTAGATGGTAGGAACTATTGTTTCCACAACTTCCCAGTTCGGAACGCTAAAGACACTGGCGCGTTGAGTCTTGCTTACACAATAATTTCGCAGTATAACAATTCCACTCTAATTGAATTCCACACAATTTAAAAGAAGAATTTATTCTACCATCCAGATTACTGTGTTTAGTTGTTCAGTGATTGATGATCTCACAAATCGGAAGTTTTTCTTCTTCAATCCGAAAAACTATAATGGAATATAAAAAAAATCCTCGAAATCCTGAGCTTGTCGCATTCTTCCTGAAAAATAACACGAAGTTGATAAGTAAAGTTTTAGAGGTTGATTCCTACACAAAACATTAATTTTTCTAATTTTTAAATTCCAATTCATTTAAAAAAGGCAATCAGTCCGGATAAGAGGCTGTAAACTGTTAGTTATAATCTCTTAAATGGGTAAGATGGCTCCATGCCAAGAATCGCGCTTTTGGTACCTGACTACAGCTCAGTACTGGATTGTCATAGGCCTTATTTCGTTCAACCAGCAATATTTTTCATGACCATTTTCCCATGATTGAGATATAACCTTACAGAAAATGTAAGGCCTGACACACGTCTTAGCGCAAGAATAAATGAAAAATGAGCTTACATTCGATCATGTCGAGGAAATTCGGGTCATCAGTTGAGCCACTGGCAGAGCCATCAGTTATGCCACTGGCAGAGCCATCACTTATGCCACTGGCAGAGCCA